AGTTTTAATATAATCAATCAGTTGTTCGAAAAAAAAAAACTTTTTTTGGTCGAATTATATTCTTTAACCTTTAATGCTTATAATAACTAATCTTTATTAATGTAGTAGATTCAAATAGAATATAAAAAATTATATAATCATAACAGATAATTTATATATTGATAAAAAAACTTTAATTTAAAAAGTTTAGTTTTCTCATATTTATAGATTTTAAATTATATAACTAAATTTTGAAATTTTGTAAACGTTAATATTTTAGAATTAGACAAAATATATTCACTATAAATATGCTATTCACTTATAATTATTTTAGGAAAAGAAAAATATGCATTTTCATGTTTAGAAATTAGTGATCAAGCGAACAGAATTTCAAAATTTTTGAGAGGTAAAATCTGGTAAACACAATCTTCAAATAAAAACAGACAAATTTTTATAAAAAATTTAAAACACTTAAATTAAAAAAATCTATTAAGAATGGCGAGGAAAAAAAAGAGTTTGAAGAAGATAGATTAATGTTAAGTTAAAACTATACTAAAATATTATTTACAGTTTAAAATATTGTATTTATGAGGGAGTAAGGAGAGATGAAAATGAGTTATAAGGATTAAAGGTGAATGTTAAGTAAAAATCATGTCAAAATATTATTTGTCGTTTTAAATATTGTGTTTATGACAAATAGAGAGAGAGAGAGAGAGAGAGAGAGAGAGAGAGAGAGAGAGAGAGAGAGAGAGAGAGAGAGAGAGTAATATTAAAGAAAAAAATGTTATGAAAAAGATCAATATTATAATATATATCTAAATAAATATTAAATGTTTATGAAAGAAAATTAATATTGTATAAATGAGCATCTGATTAATTAAATTTTATTAATATGTATAAAAATATGAATAATTAAATAAAATATTATTTTATAATATTTTAATTTTATATACTTATATTATCAAATGAAATATAAAATTCTGTGCGAAGCGCGAACCACACTCTAGTAAAATTAATAGCATAACCATAAGAGGATGTATTGAAACTATGAAGGGTGTATTGAAACTGAAATTTTAGAAGACTTTGTGGTTATTTTAAAATTCATGTTATTCAACTAATGATTTCTAAACGTTTTATCAAAATCTATGTAATTGAACATGATATTTATATAAAACCAATTAAACTTACTTCAACATCCATGTTATTCAATCAAGAATTTGTAAAAACTAAATTAAATCCACTGTTATTAGAAATATTTTAAATAGTGAATTTTACAAAATATTGAGTACTTTTAATGATTGGGTGGAGTTTGTTAGTTAAAAATATAGATAACCAAATTCCATTATTTTTAGGTGGGATTTCATATAATTTTAGTATCACATCATATCAACTTCCCTAATCCACATAAAATCATCTAAAATTTTATTAAAAATTAAATCTTTTCAAATTCTCTAAAATTTTAGTTTCAATACACCCCCTAAAATTTTAGAGAATTTAGAAAGATTTACGTTTTAATGAAATTTTAGATGATATTATGTGGATTGAAAAAGTTAATATGATTTGATATTAAAATTATATGGAATCCCACCTAAAACAATGAAATTTGGGTTTCTATATTATTAATTAACAAACTCCACAAAATCATTTAAAAGTACTTAATATTTTTTTTAATTCACTATTCAAAATATTTCTAATAACAGTGGATTTGATTTAGTTTGTATAAATTATTGATTGAATAATATGAATTTTTCAATGACTTTGCTCGTTAGTTACTTTATATAAATTTCATGTTCAATAACATCAATTTTAGTGAGATATTTAGAAATTATTAATTCATTAACATAGATTTTTAAAACAACCACCAAATTTTCTGAAATTCTTAATCCAATATACCTCTTAATGTAAACAAAATGTATTATACTAACACTACAAAAAAGAGGTGAATTAAATTATTTAAATTATATCACAAAACTAAATGATATTAATTTTAAGTTACTTATTAAAAATGATACAAAATATTTGATTTAATATCAATTATCATAATTGATGTTTTTATTGATTATTTAACTTCAATTCAATAAAATTAATACAAATTTATATTAGTTTACATCATTTAAACCAAATTGATATAAAATTATGAATTAACATCATTTAAATAATCTATGTAATCAATAATTTTGGTTAACATCATTTAAAAATGATATAAATTTTATATCAGGTTGAAAGTGATCTAACTAAGTTTTTGTACTTTGTCCCACATCGTTAGTTGATTAAAAATGAAATAAAAAAAACATGTCTATATATATTGAAACTTAATAATTATATTTAATTACTAATAAGATTAATTTTAGATGCATCAATTTTTGGATTGAAATAGTCTTATCATTATAATTTTTTATGAAAATAATAATAAATTTAAATTAATTTTAACATCTGATTAAAATTATAAAATTCACTAAACTAATTTTAACATTATTTATTATAATCGTCATAAATAATAATATCAATCACACAAATTAATGTAAACGATAACATCAGCTTTTTGTAATTGACACATATTGATATCGATTTAACCAATCGATGCAAAAATAAAATATATTTACATCAATTGATAACTAACTGATGTTAATTATTTACATCACCACATTCAAAGTCAGTTTTACAAGTGACGTAAAATCTATTTGTATCAATTATAACTAATGCAAATTTTTTAAATAAATGTTATAATACACCCATTGTTTTGTAGTGTAAAGTCACATCATTTTGCCTACTGTTTTATTATGTTTTTTTTTGTAGAACAAAAATGGATAACTCATTACATAATTATTTTTAATTTGTATCATAATATATTGACTCTCTAGAAATTATTTCATACTTACTAAACAAAAATCTGTCATCCTAATGTCTCTATTTTTTGCTAATATTTTGTTTAATATGAATTAATTTTGTTTTTGTTTCTACTCTCTCTAAAAAAATCACATACACACACATATATATATTGTAATATCCTCAATTATTAATATTCTTCACCAATGATATAGAATTAATGGTGAACTCGCAAGATGATTTTGAAGTAAGCGAGATCTTTGCCAAAGATGCTCTTTATCACCATATTTGTTTGTGATCTGTATGCGTGTTTTGTCAAGATTGCTCGACAAGGCAATAATGGAAAGGAAAATAGGGTATCATCCATATTGTCAAAACATAGGCTCACACATCTTTGTTTCACGGATGATCTATTAGTATTTGCTGATGGAAAAAGGAGATCAATAGAAGGTCTACTTAAGGTGTTTTGGTTCTTCAAAGAGATATCAAAGATGTCTATAAGTTTGAAAAAATTAATGTTATTCTTGGCGGGTGTTTCAGAGGAGATACTTTATCAATTTCCTTTCGACTCAAATACCCTTCTTGTATGTTATCTAGGCCTTCCCTTATTAAAAAAAGAATGACCTGCAATGATTATTTACCTCTGATCGAAAAAGACAGAAACAGGATAAGTTCCTGACAGCGAGGTACTATTCTTTTGCAGGAAGACTTCAGTTAATTGCATCGGTGATTCAAAGTTTAACTTCTTTCTGGATCTCAGCGTTTAGGCTTCCAAAAGCATGCATAAGGGAAATAGACAAACTGTGTGCTGGTCAGGTCCGTAACTTAACATCAACAAAACCAAAGTAGCTTGGAGAGATGTCTGTTTACCCAAAGAAGCAAACAAACAAAATCAGCTGTTTAAAGTGAATATGGCACATCTTATCAGCTCAAAATTCTTTTTGGGCTAACTGGATCAAACAGTACCTTATCTGTAAGGGTTCTTTTTGGTCAGTCAAGAACTCCTCTGCTCTTGGTTCTTGAATTTGGAGGAATCTGCTTAAGTATCGGAATATAGCAAAGGAGTTTACAAAAGTGGAGGTTGGCAATGGGATGGCAACGTCCTTTTGGTATGACGATTGCAGTCGTTTGGGGAGACTTAAATGATAAAGTCCTATGGAAGAGAAAGGCTGACACCTTCGCTACAAAATTCAGCTCAAAGCATACGTGGTCAAAAATCAGAAGCGCGACCAGAAAGAGATTGACACAAAGGTATATGGTTTAAACAAGCTACACCGAAGTATTCTTTCTTAACTTGGTTAGCAATCCTTAATCGGCTTTCCACAGGAGACAGGATGATAAAGTAGAACACATGGGCGAATAGTTCTTGTGTTTTCTGTCAGCTCCCCATCGAGACACAAAACCATCTATTCTTTGATTGCACTTGGTCTGCAGAGGTATGGTATCAGCTCACCTCTAAGCTGGTAGGAGTGCGTTTCACAGTAATATGGGAAGACATTCTTAAAGTTTTAATTTATGAGACAGGTGATGGAATTCAGCTCTTTCTCATGCTCTATGTATTCCAGTGCACAATCCACTCAATTTGGAAAGGAAAGGAATGGAAGGAGACATGGTGAACCTTTCTCACTACCAAAACAACTCAGCAAACACATTGACAAGCAAATCCGTAACAGACTGACTATTATTCGAAGACAAGAGGCTTCTTATCTGGATAAAGGAATGGAGGTCTGGTTCTCTTTTCAATGATCTAAGCACCACCTGTTTCGAAAGTTAAAGTGTTGTTTAACTAAAACTCTCAGCAAAACAATCTCATATTTTGTACATATAATTTTTTTGAGTGAATAAAATTTATATTCATTTAAAAAAAAAAAAATTGGAACAAAAATAATTAAGCTAAATTTCTTATAAAATGAACTAATGCATTTTCATATATTAATAAAACCAAACTACAGCTAAAATTAAAATCAGTAATTTTAAACGGAAAAATCAAAAGTCGAAAATCCAAAAATCAAATATATTTCAAATGTTAATAAAATAAATTTGGTTAGTATATACTATATTATATTATTCTTTACCTTCGCTAGATCTGCCCAAAAACTAAACATATTCACCTAACCGAGTAAAAAAAAGGGCAAATTATTCAAACCGAATTCTAATCCGAAATGTACTAAAATAGGCTTAAACAAATGACCATTGATATCCTGAAAAGCTCTTTCAACACTTTGGTCTAGTAGTCGTCATATTTTGCTACGTGTAAGTTGTAACCCAAATAAATTTCGTCTCTCTATTTCTATATATCTCCTCACAAAATATCTAGGGAAAGAAGATTCACAAAAAAATACATTTGAAAAAAAAAAAGATATTAAAGGTTTTAGAGAAGTGAGAAAAAAGTGGTAGCTAGGCATGGAGAAGTATGAGATGGTGAAGGATTTGGGATTTGGAAATTTCGGATTGGCTCGTCTTATGCGTAATAAACAAACGAACGAGCTTGTGGCTGTCAAATTCATCGATCGAGGCTACAAGGTTCATTATACTTTGTTTTGTTGCTTCTTTTTTTTCGTTTTCTCTGATTCTAACAAAGCTGATTGTTTGATGCAGATAGATGAAAACGTTGCAAGAGAGATCATCAATCATAGATCTCTTAATCATCCCAATATTGTTCGGTTTAAAGAGGCAAGTGAAAAAAAAATTTGCTTGTTAAAGAAGTGAATCTTAGGTTATTTTTTCTTCCTTAACTCGAATCTTTTGGTTGACAAACATATCTTGCGTTTGACTCTAAATTCGGATTCTCCCAAAACTCGAATCTTGGACTTTTCGGTCCAATGATATATTCGATATGTTCAGTATTCAACCCACGATAATTAGCCAGAAGCTACAAAAACTTGGTGATTAACGAAAACTTAAAACTTAAAACTTGATGTGTTGATGATTTAGGTTGTCTTAACTCCAACACATCTTGGAATTGTAATGGAGTATGCAGCTGGAGGAGAGCTGTTCGAACGGATTGCTAGTGCTGGTCGATTCAGCGAAGCTGAGGTTTGATTATTATCTTTTACATTTTTTTTTTGTTAACAACATACATTGAAATGTATTACATTCTTCCGGATTTTAGTTAAAAATGAATTATATTTTTAAGTACCAATTTTTTTCCTTAGTAAAACATTTGTTTATCGTAATTAATAATTAGTTCTACTTGCAGGCTAGATATTTCTTTCAACAGCTAATTTGCGGAGTGCATTACTTACATGCAATGGTAAATTTAATACACACCAATATTGTATATAAAATATAATTTGTGTTTATGTATTTTACTAATGATGAACCAAATTAATTTTGCAGCAAATATGTCACAGAGATCTGAAGTTAGAAAACACACTGCTTGATGGAAGCCCAGCACCACGTCTAAAAATATGTGATTTTGGCTACTCAAAGGTTATTTTCTTAATTATTACACAACAAAAACTTGCTTTTGTAACCTCAAATTTTATTTTAGTATTCCAAAGGTATAATAATTTTTATAAAAAAATTTATGCAGTCTTCTATTCTGCATTCCAACCCTAAATCAACGGTGGGAACTCCGGCATATATAGCACCGGAAGTTTTTTGTCGTTCGGAATACGACGGAAAGGTAATCAAATTATTTTTATAAAACACTAATATCGTCTTCCATATTTTAGAATTAGTAATGAAGATATTTTTACAAGTCTGAATTCCACTTTCAATAGTTCTTTTCCGTCTGAATTCCACTTTCAATAGTTATAAAACAATAAAAGATGGAAAAAGAGTAGAAGACGACAAAAGCTTCATAATTTCCACTCACATGACAACTATTACTAATCTTATAGGATACTATTTTGTTTTGTCGTCCTCTTATAGGATACAATAATATCTACTTTATCCAATTTCTATACAAATTTTTGAATGACCACTCTCTAATTAAAATTAGGCCAACGTCATCAAAATCATTAGTCAACTTAAACATTGTTTTTGGAAAGTACTAGCATTACTTCGTGGTGATACCTTTTAAACTCATCTAAATCTTGCTAAGAGGACACTTGTCCATCTCGGATCAACCGACTAATATGATCTGTGAAAAATAGATTGAACACTAAATCAAGTTAATTATAGTTCGGGTAAAATGTATTAGTAACTAAACTTCGAACCGATACTGTTGTATATACCTATATAATCTAACAAAATGCATACCGTAAATAAACTTCTGATGCTTTCCAAATACAATTTCTAAAACCTTGGACTATTTTAATTAAAATTTAAATTTTACAATTCACAATTCATATAACACAAGACCTTTCATTTTTTTTTACTGAAAACATAAGTATGATTAGTGATATAAAATAACCTAGTGAAGCTTGTTTGGTATGATATTTCTAAACGCAGTCAGTTGATGCGTGGTCTTGTGGAGTGGCACTCTATGTTATGTTGGTCGGAGCTTACCCTTTCGAGGACCCTAAAGACCCTCGCAATTTCCGAAAAACTGTCCAGGTTTCGTTTTTTTTTCCTTAAGATAAAACTAATATATAAAATGAAATACTTTTTTATTCATATGATCAAAATTGTATGTCAATTTGTGTTTGGAATTGCAGAAAATAATGGCTGTAAAGTACAAGATTCCAGGATATGTTCACATATCTGAAGATTGCAGAAACTTGTTATCTCGTATATTTGTTGCTAATCCATCACAGGTAAGTATATCTTTCTTTTTGTCAACAAGTGAAGAGCACATCTAGCTATATGATTTTAAACCTGAATGTTAACTAGCTTAATCAACTAAATGCGTCTTGAATTTTTTGTTTAAATTATTATACAGAGAAGTACGCTTAAAGAGATTCGAAGTCATGCATGGTTCCTAAAGAATTTGCCAAGAGAACTTAAGGAGTCAGCACAAGCACCCTATTACCAAAGGAATGTTAATATTATTAACTTTACTCCTCAAAGAGTGGAAGAGATTATGAAGATAGTTAGTGAGGCAAGAACCATTCCAAATCTTTCGCGCCGACTAGAATCTCTTGAAAAAGGTAAACAAGTTGATGCTGATGAAGAAGAAGAATATTTGGATGCTAATGATGAAGAATGTGATGATGAATATGTGTAGGTGATTTACATGTTGTCAAATTATAAACAATCCTAAACAATACTTTGCAATTTTATTTTTGAATTCCAGTTTGATATTTCTTGGTTTAGGGAACAATTGAACATAGTAACCTAAGTAAATTTAAATGTAGTTTGAATATAGTAACAAATTATTGGGTTTGTGGTTAATGAATAAAATAAATAAATTAAAAGATAATAACAATCGCCAAATCAGAGTGGCGCAGCGGAAGCGTGGTGGGCCCATAACCCACAGGTCCCAGGATCGAAACCTGGCTCTGATAATTCCCAATTTTTTTGCTATTTACTGTAGAAAATTGCCCACTGAATATTTTTTCTTCTAAACTTGCATGGTCTGTTGACGATTGGGCAAGATCAGACCCAACTTTAAATATTTGTAGAAGATCCTTTTTATTTACAAAAAAAAGTAACATAATATCACTTTCATGGAAAAACAATGGCCATATTTCCAGCGAGGGCTTAACTTGAATAATTTATTTCGTTTTACAACCATTATGAAGCATATATATTGGCATATAACGTATGAACATGTCACAAAGTAACATATATATCACTTTCACGGAAAAACAATGGCTATCTTTCCAAATATAAATAATTTCCCCCAAAAGTTTTTACATTATCTCATCTTTTTGCTTTTGTTTAGCTTCAACCACTCCACTTGATAAAACGTAGTAATCGGATTTTAAAAAAGCCTAAACCTTTTTGCCTTCTTTAGGTGTTTTTTTTTTTTTTTTTTTTTGATAAAAGGTGTTTCTTACGTCTAGTCTTTAAGCTATTAAGTGTACTTCATTGTCAGGATATCTATCAGTTTTACTGATGCGGTTCAACCAGTTTTTTCAAGAAAAGAAAAAAAAAACGAAAAGAAAAAACGCATTATTTTGTATTTCTTTCAACTACTTTCTCATTCTGTGATATGTGTAGCCAAATGTCTCTTGACAAAAATACAGGAATCAGATTCTGTTGTTATACAAATTATCTCATGTTCTATAATCCTAAAGGACATGACCCATAAGCCTCTTCTTCTACAAAGGATGGCCACTGATCCACCTTTGGAACATGACAAATGTCTCGTTTGGTTTATACTCTGCAGTGTGTCCACCTCCCTATAATCAAAACGTTCAAAACAAAAATTAATAAACATTTTCATTGTAATGCATAAATTAGTAAAAATGTAAAGTCGGAAACCAGAAGACTTGCTTTGACAGTAGCAAATGTCATCTTATTGGCATATGTTCTCGTGTATCTGTCAAGAAAATGTCAAGATTAAGTGAATTTTCATAAATTTGTGATACGAAGAGAAAATTGAATATTAAAAAATGGGAACCTAAAATATAGAATAAATTAAATACCCTGCGATTTGATTATTTATCATCCAAGGCCTCCAGTCATCAATGATGGAGTAATTGAGAGATCTTATCCAGGCTTGAGTTGAAATGAAAGGAACCACCGTATCATGGTCACCACTATTCACCATAAACAGCAAAAAAAATTATAATCTCTGAATATTGTAAGTAAGAATCCATTTTATGGTTTGGTTTCACTATTTTCGATCTTGGGTTTTTGAAAAAATAAATGTAATCCTTACCTGAAGATAAGAGATCGTAAGCCATTAATGCTATTATTCATATGGTATGGTACGGTGCTTTGAATGTCGGTATTATACGGAATAACATCATAATTACATCGCCTCCATTCACCTATACTGCCCTGTAATCATAAATCATCCTTTAGATTTTTAAATGTTTTTTTTATATAATACACATTATTCTATTAGTGATCTTAAAATAAACTTGGCACATACATTATGGACGTGAAGAGCTTCGCGAACTCTCTCGTCGTTGGCCCACTTGCTTAGAAGAAAATAGTTATATAGCTGCAAAAGTAACCTTGTAAATATATGCTTCTTGGCAATATCAGAAAAAATGACATTTCTTTAGTGAAATAATTATCAAAATAAGCATGTCCACACACAATTGTACTGATATATTCATCAACTTTTTTGTTAGATTCTTAGTTTTATAGCTAAAAATACTGCAGTGCCTTACGTATTTTGATCTCGCACACCAATAAAAAGCCTAATTTGATCATAAATTAATTACAAAATTTGTTAGAGTTCAAGCAAAGAAGTCGTCATACTAATTTTGTAAATTTGTCTCTCAAAGTGTTATTTTGAATTTTTTTCCATATTTTTCTATATGGTTTAACTGTCAATGGATAAAATGGACTCCAAACCGATACATATTCTAAGAAGATATATATTTTAGTATTTGATTTTCTATGTAAACTTTCGATTAACCAATTTTTGGATCAAACAAGAGCGGAAACATATGTACTCATTCTCTCGAGTCATTAGAAGAAGAAAAGATGTATTACTTACAAAGCAATTAGGAGATGTCTGGTCGCAAACTGGTAGTAATATATGGTATGGATTTAGTTTGTTTGTACACTGTAATATATAAAATAAAACAACATGAATTAGTGATGACCATTATCACATATATAGAACATCAATTACATTCCAAAGTGTTTACCTTTTGGTAAACTTCAGTGAGTCTTAAGCATTCTGTATTTCCAAAATAATTTCCTTTGCAGATTCTTTTCATTGACTGTTAAGAAAAAAAGGTTTTGGACATTTTCATATCGAATGAGGCTTAAAAAAACAGAAGGTTCTTAAAGCATAAAAATATAAATTTCTCTTGTGAAAAAAATATATAATAAATGAAGCAATGCCATATATACACCATACCTCATAGAGTTCATCCGAGATTAATGCCATTCCATGAGCATGTGGAATATTATAGTTGCGTTCAAATTCAATATCTGTTATTGGGTTTCCGAGGATATAACCCTATTTCGGTAAGAAAGTACATTATATATCAATCTTAGTTTTCAAAAATGTATGCATTTTTCGTTAAAAAGAAAAAGTATACATAATTTTATAAGAAATTGAATATCATTAACCTGTAAATTTATTAGAGGTTTGCAGCATATGTAATTTCCTGCATCATGGTGTCTATATTGTTAAAAAAAAATGATAGAGAAAATTGTCTAAATGGAACCGAATTCAAAGAAAAGGGTAAAAACAAACATACCTTTTGAGATTTCTTGTACGAGGGGCGGAACAATCTTACCGGAATAAGAATCTCCGGTAACGTAAAACGGGTTAGAGAAAAACTGTGGATGCTTGCTTAGCCACTGCGCAAAATAAATAAATAAATAAAAACACACACTTTGGTGCGGCAGTACAAATGCTCTTAAAAGACAATATATTAATTATTACCTTTTGAAGAAACTCATAAAGTATCTTAACTTCACCTGTGTCACTAATTATATCAACAAGTGGAGTTCTTGAGTAGGAGAAACCAGCTCCAACAGGCTGATCCAAGAATATTATGTTCGCCATCTAAAGAAATAATCCAAAATTTTAACAACTTGAATAATATGATACTTTCTTTTTCTGTCAATTATGAAAATACTTTCTGCTAAGTACCTTTGTCCATGAATATGTAGTAGAGATCAAAGAAGGAATACTTCCATTGTAAACCTCGAACTTCAAAGCCAAAGGCCCTATATTTCTTTTTCCCACTTCAAGTAAGCTACTAAAAATAGTGATATGCGAAAAAGGAAATATATACAATATAGATTTACCATTCTCAAAAAGAAGGGCGAACAGCGAAGAGCATGTAGGTCCTCCTGTTAACCAGAGAAGAAGAGGGTCTTCTTGTGGATTATTCTCGGACTTTATGAAATAGTAAAACATTTGTAGTTGATCTTCATCACCAACACCGATGTATCTACATTCAGAATTTAATGACTAAATATTAACTCCAAACTCTAGATATTTCAAAATCACCAACACCATGAATAAATGTAGGGACTAAATATTAACTCCAAACTCTAAATACTAAAGTAAAGAAGAAGAGACATAACACAAAGTCACAAACCCTGTTTCAAGTTCGAAAGGAAGAGGACCATCAAAACCAGGAAGAAACTTGACGATTGAGCCAGAATCAACATGATGACTCAAGACCAGTAGAAGCAGAATTAGCAGATATAGTATGAAACTCATTCTCTTTTCTTTTTTTTTTAGTTTATAAACGAATGATGACTTTTCGGGGGAAAAAGAAAAGATATTCGGAACATATAAAAAATGAGTGAAACCTTTTAGCAAAAAAAAAGAATAATGAAAAAGTGGTTGCAACTTGCAAATAGTGGTTTGCTAATTGCTAGTAGCTACACGTCGAGGAACTATATTGAATTTGACATGACAATAAATATATTGGTACACATTGACGAATCACGTTTTTAGTGTTGCAATCTTTATCTCTTTCTCACTAAACTTTTCACAAAATTTCAAAATCACCAACACCATGAATAAATGTAGGGACATTGATTTTGTTGTAATGCTTGGATCTTGCTCTTCTTCACCACATGTTTTATATAAATATCTCTGTAGACAAAATGACCAAAATGTTCTCCTCAAAATCAAGAAATTGCTTCATAGTACCTTACCATCCTAATTAATGAATTGGTCATGGAAGCGACAACTTGGCTGTCCTACTTACAGGGCCGACCCCTTTTATTTTAAAGTAGAATATGATACGCTTTATTTTTTTTTTGATAATTCAGACTACATCCTAAATTTATGGAAGGATCTGGATCTATAGATTTTTTTCGGATATTTAAATGAATCGAAAACAAAAATTTATATCCGTGTAGTTAAATGAAAATTATTTAGTAATTTCATGCTTGAGAAGAATCGATCCGTGGTCTAAATCAATAGAGTAACTATCACCATTTGGTTAAATATGACATGTTACCGGTTTAAATATTTTCTCACCGGAAAGCGGAAATACTTTTGACAAAATACATTATCTTTTTTCTTAAATAGTTCAACAAACAAAAATTCACGTGCATTTTAAAATTATTAAATTGATTGGCAACTGTAAATTATGCAGTACGGAGTGGATAATATAGTTCAGACAGAACAGTGCGGTCCATACAAAATAAACGAATCATTCGGAATAATAAATATGGGACAAGTTGAATAATGATAATAACAAATGCGAACAAATGTTATAAATATTAATCATATATCTCATGTTACGTATTTTTATTTTTTTATAATCATATATCTCATGTTACGTATTTTTATTTTTGTATATACTTAAAGACTTTGAGACTCTATTACAAAGGATGGCCACTGATCCACCTTTGGAACATGATAAATGTCTCGTTTGGTTTAAATTCTGCCGTGTGTCCCCCTCCCTATAATCAAAACACTCAAAAAAATTAATGAACAGATTCATTGTAATGTAAACTGCGCAATGATATTAAAAATGTTTAGTTCAAATACAAATGATAGTAAAATTGTAAAGTCGCAACAAGAAGACTTGCTTTGACAGTAGCAAATGTCATCTTATTGGCATATGTTCTCGTGTATCTGTCAAGAAAAAAGGCAACAAGAATTGTTTTTACGTGAATTATGATAAAGTTATGTGATACGAAGAGAATGAAAAACAGAAACCTAAAACATAATTTATTGCATACCCTGCGATTTGATCGTTTATCATCCATGGCCTCCAGTCATCAATGATGGAGTAGTTGAGAGATCTTATCCAGGCTTGAGTTGAAATGAAAGGAGCCACCATATCATGATCACCACTATACACCATAAACCGCCAAAAAAATTATAATCTTTTTAATCTTTTAGGTAAGAGTGGACAAACCAGTGTATGGTTTGTATTTTGGTTTGATTTTGTATTTGGATTTGGTTCTTAAGAATATTATTTAAAAAAATATATATGTAGAATAATTTTAATAAAGTTTCTATTTACTTTATATGGATGTGTCTATTACTAACATGTATATAACTTTGAAAAACATTGTACTAAATATATGATTTTTTTCGGTTTAACCTTTACCTGAAGATAAGAGATCGTAAGCCATTAATGCTGTTATTCATATGGTATGGTACGGTGCTTTTAATGTCGGCATTATACGGAATTACATCATCATTACATCGTCTCCATTCACCTATACTCCCCTGTAAATCATATATCATACTTTAGATTTTATAAGTTTTCTTTATATATCAATCATTCAGACACTAATTAATCTATCAATGATCTTAAATTGAACTTGGCACATACCTTATTGACTTGGAGAGCTTTGCGAACTCTCTCGTCATTGGTCCACTTGCTAAGGAGGAAATAGTTATATAGCTGCAAAAGCAACATTGTTTCTTGGCAATATCATTAAATAAAATGTGAAATATTTATCAAACTAAGCATAAGTCCACACATAATTTCACTTAGATTCATAAGAACGAAAACCTATATAAAATCAAAATATTTCTCCCAATCTTTTTAATTCCAGCTACTAGATAAAGGAAAGAGCTTTAACTTACAAAGCAATTAGGAGATGTCTCGTCGCACTCTGGTAGTAATATATGGAATGGGTATAGTTTGTTTATACACTGTTAATAAAATAAAATAAAATCTGAATTAGTGATGACCATTATCATATACTATATAGAACATCAATTACATTCCAAAGTGTGTATACCTGTTGGTAAATTTCAATGAGTTTTGAGCATTTTGTGTTACGTGAACCCACATTTCTATAATTTCCTTTGCAGATTCTTTTCATTGACTGTTAGAAAAAAAAAAGTTTTGGACATTGTCATATCATTTGAGATTTCGAAAAACAGAACCAGTTAGTAAACGATAAAAATATAAAACTCTCTTGTGAAAAGAAAAAATAACAAATTAATCAATAACATACCTCATAGAGTTCATCCGAGATTAATGCCATTCCATGAGCAAATGGAATCCATTTGTTGCGTTCAAATTCAATATCTGTTATCGGGTTTCCGAGAATATAACCCTTATTTTTTTGTAAGAACATATGTATTTCTTTAGTTTTTTGAAAAAGGATACATAATATAATAAGCAGTTGAATATATCAGCGACCTGTATGTTTATTTGATAATTTCCTGCATCATGGTGTCTATATTGTTAGAAAGTTAGAGAAAAATGATTAAGCGAAAAATCGATTAAACAATATTTTTTTAAAAAGTAAAGTGTATGGTGTTGTTGAATTTGATTGATATGGAAAAACAAAAAACATACCTATAGAGATTTCTTGTACGAGGGGTGGAACAATCTTACCGGAATAAGAATCTCCGGTAACGTAAAACGGGTTTGAAAAAAACTGTTGATGCTTACTTAGCCACTGCGCAAAATAATAAACACTCTTAATTTGTTGTCAAAATTACAAACAAAATTACATTTTTAGAACATCAGTATTGCAGAGATGATGATTGAGGTTCTTAAAATATTTTTATTATTAAAAAATATAAAATTTGATATGCCATTTTTTATTTTATTTTTATGGATATGCCACATTATTTAAGAAACCCACATGATCTCTACAATATTGAAAATGTCCCACCATTAATTACCAACACATGCAAACACTTTAATCAGACTATATATCTATTAATAATTTTTTTTTATGTTTTCTTACCTTCTGCAGAAACTCATAAATCATCTTAGCTTCGCCTGTGTCGCTAGCTTTATCAACAAGTGGAGTTCTTGAGTAAGAGAAACCAGCTCCAACAGGCTGATCCAAGTATATTATGTTCGCCATCTGAGGAAGTAATTCAAATTTTTTTAAAATTGGATAATATGATCAAGAAGATATGGAACATTCTTTCTGCTAAGTATACCTTTGTCCATGAATATGTAGTAGAGACCAAAGTAGGGATACTTCTATTGTAAACCTCGAACTTCAAAGCCAAAGGCCCTATATTTATTTTTCACACTTCAAATAAGTTACTAAAAATAGTGATTTGCTACAAAAGGAAATATATACAGTATATATTTACCATTCTCAAAAAGAAGGCCAAAAAGAGAAGAGCATCCAGGTCCTCCATTTAACCAAAGAAGAAGAGGGTCTTCTTCTGGATCATTCTCGGACTTAATGAAATAGTAGAACATTTGTAGCTCCTCTTCATCACCAACACCAATGTATCTTCATTCACAAGAATGACTAATTATATTAACTCCAGATTCTAAATTCTAATGAAAAGAAGAGGAGACAATTCACATACCCGGTTTCGAGTTCGAAAGGAAGAGGGCCCTCAAAACCAGGAAGAAACTTGACGATTGAGGCAGAATCAACGTGATGACCCAAGACAAGTAGAAGTAGAATGAGCACATATAGTATGGAACTCATTCTCTCCTTTTCTAGTTTATGACGATTGATGAGTTTGTTAGTAGCTCGAAGTTGTGCATATTGACAGAATTTTTTAGTGTTACAATCTATCTCTCTCTCACTCTCTCTCTAAACATTTCACAAAAAGTCAAAGAGACCAACACCATGAATGAATAAGTAGGGACGTTGCTTAATGCTTTGGTCGTTATCGCCTGTGTTCTTTGTTCTTCCCCAATCACCACCACATGTTTAGTATAAATATCTCAAGAAATTGCTTTAAAGCGCCCCCCCCCCCCCCCCCCCCCCCCTCTGTATTTTAAAAAGTCAAAGCAAAATACTTCATGAATATGATAAGTTACTTAAAGTTTGAAAATAATATTTTCTGTTCCCACAGATTATTTAATTTATAATAATTATTTTCTGAAAATTAGTTAATAGTATAAAAATAATGGTATACGATTTTACAATGTTTTAACATTTTAAGCAAGTAATTTTTTTTCACTAAAAAACCTTATTTATAGCCTTAAAATAAATAAAATTTGAGGTTATTAATCTTTTATGTTTTACATCCAAAAACTATTAATATATCTCAGATTTTGATTTCAATAAAAAAAAAATTTATACAAAAAATAATAAACAATAAAACTATATAAAAATTATAATTCAGGGAAAACGAGAGAAAATGAAGATGAAAACGAGTCCAAATATAGAAGTAGCTATCTGCTTATATATGATTATGTTTTTTCATATACCTTTCATTTTTCACTAGAAAAACACCATGTTTTAAAAAAAAAATTCTCACAGATTCCTAGCCTTGTGTTTGTCCCTGTAATTGTATCCGGCTTTTTGTTCCTTCAAGTCCATAAAGGACACCAACTCTGTTGAAACTCTTTGTTTGATTATGTTATTAAGATGTGTTTTGATCTTATGCAAGGGTTGTAACTCAAGGAAAATGAGAGAAGATGAAGAAGAGTCCAGGTATCGAAGTAGCTATCTGCTTATATATGATTATGTTTTTTTGGTATATCTTTCATTAATGAGATTCACTAGAAAAACACCATTTTTAAAAAAAGATTTCCACAGATTCCTAGCCTTGTGTTTGTCCCTATACTTGTATATGGCTTTTTTTTCCATATAGAACACCCACTCAACTAGCAAGAGAAGTTTTCTTGAAACCCCTTGTTTGATGTTATTAACATGTGCTTTCATCTTATGGAGGGATGATCGTTGCAAATCTGAGGGTCGTACCTCTAAAAGGAAGACGAGAGAAGACGAAGAAGATGAGTCCAGGTAAACGTTATTAACATAACATTTATTCATTAAAGAAGTACAAAGATTGAATCTATTAATCCATGTTTTGTGCTTTCATCTTATACAGGAGGATGGCAGCAAATCTCATGGTCGTAACCTGAAGAGAAAGAGAATAAAATGAAGACGACTTTAAGATCAAAGTGTTTTGGGATATTGAGAATGTTTTTGTTCATAATTTACATAAATGTCTAGAGTCGGAGGACTGAAGACGGACATAATGTCTTTCTCATCTCCGGAGACAATGGCTTTCAAAAGGACATTCAATAGTTGAATGTGGCTGGATACACCACTATGTTAGTGTATTTGAAGATAGAAAAGTCAACGTCACGCGAAGTTTTTGAATCAAAAATTAGTAAACAACTAAGCATAATGGCAGGTAACAACATTTTCTTTTGTGTTTTGTGGAAATTAATGCAGTAATTTTTGTACAAGGTTTGACCTACTTATAAAAAGATTGATGACATGTGGTTATAAACATTCAAGAATATTGGATCGAGTTTGTTGTTCCTGACTTGGCAAGAATCCGCTTATGTGTTTATAGTGTAGTGGTTGGAGAGATATTAATGACTCCTATGACACTAATTGCATTAATTTAGACGTTTTATATTGTTTGATGTTAATGCAATTATTGGGAGATCTTGTTCCACCATATATATATATATATACCAATATCATTAGGCTTGACTGAATTCATGAGAGTCATTACTTAGTTTTTTCATGCTACATGTTCTTTTTTATTGACATAAATCACTTACTAATCATTTAAAAACAAAATTATATTAAAATCTCAAATGCATTTGTGATAGGCCTTTCGGAGAGGAAATCGAATAAAAGAGAATTAGTGGGATAGACCACATTATTCTGTGTTTTTTTCCTCTACAATTCTCAATCTTGATCCATTTTTTATTTTCTTTTTGATAAGATTAGATTCATTTCAATAACAAAGAAATTACAAAAATTGGATGAGTAGATTAATTATCCTTAACCTATCAACTCAAACTTAGTCAACAATGAAACAAAAAAAAGGAAAAAAAAATTGCAAAAACTTTGCATGTAGCCATCAATAGGAACTTCTATTCTATAAGAGCAAATGGGTTTATATCAGCATTGTGTCTTCTTCGATATCACACTGCTATTTTCTTCAAACCAACAGCAATCGGCATTCCCAAGAAGCCAACGAAGATGCTAAAGAACCATTGGACTATGGTGAGAGGTGTGGTGCTTGCAAATGTTCCCAAGAACTCAATGATAATGATCTGAAAGAAAACCGTTGCACCAATCACAACCACGAATACATAGTTGTCGAGTATGCCTTTGAACACATCGATCTCTTCCATCTCCCTCGAGCTTATCTCATTGAAGACCTAAACATCAAGAACCAAGAAGTGTTAGTGTCTTACTTTTGAGTGTTTTTAAGTATATATATCTATATGATTTGCTTTACCTGACAGAAGACGAAACAGTTGAAGATAAGTGTGTTCAACACAAGAGTGGAATCAGAACCAGCAAGACCAAACATTGACTTCCCTTTGGCTTGTAGAAACCAAATGATGACGAACTGATACACAGATTGTCCTAAGATGTTCCTCCACATTGCGTTTGTAATGAAGTTCCCTCTCCTCCCAACGGGCATACGTTTCATCAGCTCGTTGTTAGGTGGCTCTGTAGCTAGAGCAAGAGCTCCAAGTGTGTCCATTATCATGTTCACCCAAAGCAGTTGAACAGCAGTTAAAGGAGCACTTCCTGTGAGAATGATGAAGAAAACAGAGTAAAAAGATGGAAACTTTTAAACAGAAGAGTAGCCAGTTTCCTTTTAACTTACCAGTCAAGCAAGCTGAAGAGAAGTTAACAATTAGGGCAACAACATTGACTGTTAGCTGAAACTGCACGAATTTCTGAATGTTTATGTAAACAGAACGTCCCCATTTCGCCACTGTCACGATCGTGCTGAAGTTATCGTCGAGAATGATTACATCTGCACTCTCTTTCGCCACCTAAAGTTGTATTTCAAACAGAGATTTAGTAAAAGTTGAGTCATTGCATAACTTTTTATAGACTTTTCTTACTTCAGTTCCTGCAATGCCCATGGCTAATCCAATGTCAGCTTCATGAAGTGCTGGTGCATCGTTTGTCCCATCACCAGTCACAGCAACAACTTCATCAAAAGTGGTTCTTAATTGCTTCACAAGTGTATGCTTGTCCATGGGAGAAGAACGAGCCATCACCTACCAAGGAAAGTTCTTGATTAAGACTTAATTAAGAAAAGTCCAAAATCAAGAAACGGTTCATTACCTGAATCTTGGGGATGAGTTCAAGTAACTCTTCTTGATTCTTCTCTCTGAACACAGGACCTTCAATGGCTATACCATCATCAGTGAGGATCCCACATTCTCTAGCGATAGCTTTCGCTGTGTTGATGTTATCTCCTGTAACCATTCTCACCATGATACCAGCACGGCGACAAAGCTCCACGGACTCTCTGACACCAGGACGAACCGGATCTTTGATACCAACAATCCCTATGCAAGTAAAACCGGAAGCCGGTATGCCTTCATCCGGAGTAAACCCGTTTTCGATATCCATGTAAGCGAGGCAGAGAGTGCGAAGCGCTTCGTTTGCAAACTCATCGATTGTAACATTCAAGAACTTGATTGATTCTTCATCAAGCTGAACAACCTCGCCGCTCGAGTTGATAACTTTGTCGCAAGCCGCTAAGACTATCTCTGAAGCTCCTTTCGTGTGAGCTCGGGTTCGTCCTCCTTCAGGGAGCTCAATGACTACTCCCATTCTCTTCTTTGTTGAGTTAAAAGGCTCAACTTTGATAACTTTGAAAGATTGTCTCTCTTCTTGAAACTTACCTCCAAGAGAAAGTCCTAACTCCAATATAGCAGTCTCTGTTGGTGTACCCAAGATCTCTGTCTTGCCATGTTTGTTCACAACAACTTCCCCTCCAGTGTTATTAAAAATCGACTGAAGAAGCAGTTTCAGAGCAGACTCAGGGATCTCAGATGCCAAGCTCGAGCCTTTACTTGCTACATCTTGAACATTCATACAGATACAAGACTTCACAACGGTCATGTGATTGGTTGTTAATGTACCAGTCTTGTCACTGCAAATAGTAGTCGCGGATCCCATCGTCTCACAAGCTGCCAAGTGTCTAACAAGAGCCTTGTCGTTCATCATCTTCTTCATAGCGAAAGCGAGGCTAAGCGTCACAGCTAAAGGCAAACCTTCAGGAACCGCGACGACGACGATCGTCACAGCGATAGCAAAGTACTCCAAAAGCTCTAAGGCTTCGTCTCCTGACCAACTCCAGTGAGTGTTCATTGAAACTTTCCTCATGAACATTCCTTGAACCAAAACAGCGAACGTAACAATGGCGAAGAAAAGACCGATTTTGCCAATGATGGTTGCGACTCCATTGAGTTTCACCTGCAATGGAGTCTCGTCATCACCTCCTTCGCTAAGAGTCGCCATTAGCTTTCCCCATTGTGTTCTCATCCCAACCGTTGTAACCATCATCTTACATGACCCATCTTGCACTTTGGTTCCAGAGAGAAGGAAAGGGTTCTGTGAACTCACCATCACAGGCTCACTCTCACCAGTCAAGCTCGATTCGTCGATCACAACAGAGAAGCCTGAGAGGAAAAGACCATCCGCAGGAACCTGATCTCCAATAGCAAGATGAACAATGTCACCAGGGAGCAACTCGTATATAGACATCTTCTGTCTAAACCCGTTTCTTGTAACCTGAACAGTGATCTTCTTCTTCTCTTTGTCCAAATCACGGAACTGCAAAGACTGTCTGTAATCACTCGTCGCTGTGACGAACACGACCAAGAGGATGCTAGCGACAATGCCAAGACCATCATGTGAACCTTGAGGCCATCCTTCAGTTGCAATGCCAACGATCAAAGAGACGAAAGCGCAAACTCCAAGAATCATAAGCGTCATATCTTGAAGAGCTTCCCAAACAAACACCCAGAAGCTTTTCAGTTCGCTCTCTGCGAACTTGTTGATTCCGAAAAGCTCCTGCCTTTTGCTTAACTGGTCGGATTCTCCTGAGAGACCAGCATCAGGACATGCCTTGAGTTTCCCTGAAAGCCCATCAACTCCACCATGGAACTTGAGCTTCTTCACATCATGACCTTCCACTATTGATCCTAACTCTTCTGCACAAATGTCAAAGCCTGCAGCTTTAACCTCTTCAGGGACAGTGTAGTCACTTGGAGAAACACCTGCACGAAACCCATTTTCCAAATCAAGAAACTTTTACACAAAAGGTCTAAACTTTTTTCACTCTCAGATTCACACTTACCGGAGATAAATTGGAATGCAGCTTTTGAGACGAGAACTGCAACTTTTAATTTCTCCTGTAAATTTGAAAATCTCCAGATGTAGTAAATTGGGAGGGAAAATTCAAAGAATCCAGAAACAGAGAAGCTTTAGATTCATAACTACAACATCAATCTCGAGTTAAATGCTCAAAATGTACAATACCGTTTTATAAACCGTAATTTAAAAATTCTAATTCGAAATCGTTACGGAATTATATCTCCGATGTTGGTAAGAAGAAGAAGAAGATGATGGAGGACCTGATTGGTGCGGCGCATAGCGGCGGCTTCGTAACGTTTGGAGAGATTGGCGGTGAAGCGAAAACGGCGTTTTGGGTTCTTGACGACGCCGCAGAGATTCCGCCATTTCTCGAGCACTTCCTCTGACGAGTGCTTCGCCTTAACGTCGAAATTCTGGTTGAGGTAACTCTCCATTTTTATTCCTTCACAGCTTCAATGGCTGTTTTTTTATTAATGAAAATAATGTAAAAATGTTAAAGATCTCAGCTTTTTCTACTCTCTTTCGACACTTTTATTTTAAATATATATTTTTTTAATTTGTTGGGGAAGAAAAGAAGAAGCTGAATAGTCGCAAACTTAAATGGAGAAAGAAGAAAGAAGCGAGTTTTAAGATCTGAGCTTTTTAAGCCTCTGAAATTGACCGAGTCCTTGAGTTAAGCTGAGACGACTCGCTTTAATTTCGTGAGCTTAACGATCAAAACTATACCAAAGAGGCAAACATTCGAGTTGTTATTAATTAATAACAAATACGCAATAGTATACTATTGATTATGAACGTGTGAAGTTGCATGCATGAAATATTCATGCAAGGCATGAAGACTTACACAATGCATTGTTCTTTTTTTTTCGCAAGGTTAAGAATTATTAAATATGATAATCAAGTTTTTGCATGATTTTAGAATACTTCATTAAAATTTATTATTGTTTGGGGAAGTTATCTATCAAGTCCCAGAACGGTGACACTATTTGGCATATGTAGTCAATGAAGAGTATATAGTTTTATGGATTTGTTATCCATGGTTCTGATACCATGAAAGTAAAGAGAAAACTCACAAATGAAGAGTGAAACTGAAAGCTATTTTAATTTTTTTTAATTATGCAATCGTTTGAGCTTGGCATTATATTTGCGGTTCATCTTTATACAAATAATAATCAAAGAATGTAAGACTTTTGTAACCTTTTGTGGTGTTTCCTCTCCTCTCCTACGGTTCTGCTTTTGTCTTTTTGCAGAGATGAAAATTGGGCTGCTGCTCGAGATTGGGCTGCTGTTGTTTGGGCTGCTGTTGTTTGGGCTTTGACTTCATCTGGATCAGGTTGTTTTTGTTGTTTACAGAACAATATGATGAAGTGACACCGTTTTGGGATTTCATGTTAATAATATCTAGTATATGGTTTATGTCAATGGCATCTCGAGCTATTATGGGGTTTATTGGATCATGGTTTTGAATGATTTGAATTTATTTTGAATGATTTGATATTTGGTTGGATTTTGATAGAATTTGTAGATATTATGTGATTTTTAATATATATTTTTCAAGTAATTAAAAAATTTAAATTAAGATTTGGAAAGATTTTTAAGATAAATTTCAGTTCATTTTATATGACAAAACAAAAACCAGCACAATTTTTATTAAAAATAAAGAAATATTCAAATTCTAAATAAAAAACACTAAATAAAACAAAAGAAAGAAAAACATAACATAACTCTAAAGTTAATACATAAACCCGACGTTCAATCCACCTGAAACGTTCGATTATAGATATTTTTGAATCTTATTTTCATTTCCAGCTCGTGAAGTTTGGTCATTGCATCTTGCATCGTACTATGGAGAAAAAAAAATTTGTGTTTAGACAAATCAATAATAGCTTTCTCCAACTAAAAAGAACAAAATTGTATATGAATGAAGTAGCATGGTAAAACATCACTTACCACGTCTTTCATGGCTGATACCCATCGTCATTAGCATCTCCCCACATATTAGCAGCAATAGTTGCTTGCCAATTATTAGCGAACTCCTTTTGTTGTTCTTGGGTTCCAACAAGTTCTTCTGCATCGCTATATGATTCATCATCTTCTTGACTTTGCTCTTGTGCATTACTACTTGATGCAACATTTTCCTGACTACATGTTTCTGTAGTACTACTTGATGCTGCATTTTCTTGTCTACGTTCTTCAGGATCAAATTGATCTGAACGACATTCTTTACGAAGAAAATTATGCAAAGCAGCACAAGCAAGTACTAACTCCACTTGTCTCTTAAACAGAAAAGGAGGTGCAGATTTAAATATCAAAAATCTAGATACCAAAAATACTCTCGATTACATTTCTCAATGAAGCATGGCGAAGATTGAACAGTTCTTCTTTATTTGTAGGATCATTATCTTCACCTTTAAATTCTGGAAGATGGTATCGAATGCTTCGATAAGGAGCCAGAAAATTACTATGGTTTGCAAATCCACAATCAACTAAATAATATTTTCCTGAAATTTAAGTCATGCACAATATTAAAAAGTGTGAATTTAAAATGAAATAAAATATTTCAAGTAATTGACGTACCTTCTGGAACTTTGAATCTATTAATAGTCCTTGTTAAAGCATCATTTAACACTTTTGCATCATGAGCTGAACCTTCCCATCCAGAAAGAATATATATGAACTCTAAATCAAAATTGCATGCTGCTAATACATTTTGTGATACATGTCCTTTCCGGTTACGATAACTAGCCACTTCATCTCCGATTACCATCGCAGGAATATGTGTGCCATCAAGTGCTCCTACACAATCCTAAGAAGAAAACAAAAAGTCAGAATTTTGTGTGTTGTAAATAAAAAACTTTCAATCATGAAAACGTCATACTTTAAAGTAAGGATAATATCTTGTGCTTTCTTTTATTTTAGTGGGCACTGTATTCCCAGGCTTAACCATAAAGCTTGGTGCAATCGTGCATAATGCCATCAAAATTTTATTGAAATTTGTACTAGCAGCAAATGCAGATATGTTGAAAATATCACGCGTCTGGGTGTATCTTGAATTTTGACTAACTGTGAGCAGAAAAGTAGCAAGCATTTCCTCTACTGAAGTATTTCTTGTGTCTACTATATTTGTCCTCTCTAATATAATGTCGCATAACTTCAAAAATGCACGAGGAGACATACGATATAATGCACAAAAATGCTGAGAATCCTCTTTCATCGCCTTTTGTAGGTATTCATATCCAAGTTGTGTTGGTGCTCTCCTGATTGGACGCTCGATTTGTGCTGAACAATTATTAATCCTCGCAGTCAATGTCAACATCAATACCATAATATGAACATCTATCTCAAAATCTGCTGTTCTTCTTCTTTTTTGTTTTGCCTTTGCTTCTTCGTATTCATAGACAATACGATCCATTATGAAGAACCTATAGATATATAAATATCAAAATGAGCTGACATGAGAAAACTAATCATGGCCGATTACAACTTTTCAAATTGTTATTTTGGCAATTATAAACACAACCATACGAGAACACAACAAACATACAAATTCTCTAGAAAGATAATGATGAGATATTTACCTGAGTATTACAATGGATGATGAAGACACTTTGACATTTCTCCTCGTATATATAAAAATATTCTTATGTAAGATAACAATGGTGAAGTTTCACACCACAAATATATAAACAACAAAATTGGCGCCAAAAATAAACAAAATCTTCAAGTTTCCGCCACATATATATACACACACATTAACAATATCTTAACTAGAGATTGTAGTGTATCTAGATCTCGTTATAAATTTTTACTTGGCTTTATCAATATCTACTTATAAATCACATTACAGCATATATATATAGGATCCATATCAGATTGACAAACGATTGGCAACATGTGGTTAAGAATTTACAGCTTTGATTGTTGGAAAATCTACTCTAACGAGTCCTTTTATAATTCACCAACTCGATTTTATTAGAAATGAAGAAATATCCAAATTGTAAATCAAAAACATCAACTAAAACAAACTGAAATAAAAAAAAATTAAAGGAAAGAAAAAGCATAACAAATCTCCAAAGTTGGCATGGTTTGTAAATTCTTGTAATCATGGTTTGTAGACATGACGTTTAATCCACCCAAAACGTTCGGTTATAGACATTTTAGCAAATCCTGCTTTCATTCTCAGCTCGTGAACTTTGGTCATTGCATCGTACCGGACATCATCCCCTAGATCAGGAATTTCTTTAATAGCATCCCATACACAATTAATTTTTTCTTCGGCTTGTTTTTCTTCAGCCTCTTGTTTCCATCTTTGTTGTAATATGCCAAATACTTGATTGCTGATTTCCGTTACCGAACTGATTTCATCATTGATGTTTCCCATTGTGTGTGCCTCTGTTATAGCTTCTGAGGGAGCTTTTCAAGAGTGTGTGTACTAATGAAGAGAAAGACACATCCTCATGAACTTGATGATGGTACGTTGCTCCTTGGTCCTCTTCAAGGGGGTTCATATCATGAGTCTCAGAAGGTTGAGCACTGGAATCACTTAACCCAATATCATTCTTTCCTGTTGCTGTATTACTTCCAAATATCAAGTTCAAATCCTCATAGTCTTTAAAGGAGTTGTCACGTAGATGACTTTGATTTGAATGTCCTTAACGAGAAAAAGCAAAATATCAAAATTAATAATAAAAAATAAAAGTGTGTAAATTATGCATACGGAGGCAAAATTTGGTACCTTGAAATAATCATTCCACACTTCATTAGAAGCAGTAAACTTCTTCGTTACTGGATCCCATCCAAATCCAGAACTGTGTCAAAAAAGATCAACATAACTCTGGTACCTAGTCTTCAATATCTTCATTCTATTCTTGTAGTGGCTATAATTTTTCTCAGAACCAATCTTCTGGTTTAAAACCGATAGTATTTTTTTCTCTATCGTTAACTTGTTAAAAGAACCATTTGCGTCACGCCAACCTCGTTTAATAGCATCCACCAATAACCGGAGCAACATATTGTGTTCTGGTTCAGACCAATGACTATATTGGCCTTTCTTAGATTCATGTCCATCTTCCATCGTAAATATGAACTACACAAACATTAAAAAAAAGTAAACAAATGAGAAATTCAAATTGAACGAACAAGATGATAAAGAAGACACATGGTAACATACCAACGTCGAGTTTCATGTACAAAGATGATCTGAATTGCTGCATATATATTAACATATCCAAATCTACTCCAACAAAAAAATAAGATAAGTTTGATTTTTCTTTTAAAACAAATCTCTTGAAATTATCATCTTTGTAGGTGAGATTTGTTGATTAGGTTATATAACTAAAAACTTGTAATCAAATATTTAGAAATCTTTTCAGATTTAATTTGTTTTAATATTGAAAATGATCCAATAACCCCAAATTTTTTATGATTTTGGTCACTTATCAATTGAATAACCATGGATTGTGAATTATTTTGAATTGGTTGAGAAGAATTTTATATCTAATAACCTGAGACTTTAAAAGACATTTAAGAATTCCAGATTCAATAACAGTAGATTAAAAAAAAAAATTAATGGCTTCCAAAAACCATGATCCAATAAGCCCCCCTTAGTGTTGTTTGCTCGTTTTTATTGACAAAAGAACTTCAAATCGATTTCAAACTAATCATTTCAAAATCTTTTTGAAAAAGCTTTTAGTATTGTTTGCTTTGTTATTTATTTCCGTAATAAGTGGTGTCTACTCTTTGGCACATAATCTATATCTATTTCCTACTACCATAATCGATGCTTAGTTTTAATATGATAAAAATTTGGATTAAAAAAAAGGTTTATGTCAATGGATCTCTATGTATATGTGAGAGCAAAATCTAAAACAAATATGTGATTACTCATAAAGATGTAGAATTTTTCAAAAATTGTTTTAGACGACAAGACTTTATTGAATACCAAAAAAGATTGAGGAACAGAGGAAAACCATTAATTAGTATATTTATAAAATAAAAAAAATAATTTGTACGACAAAAACCCTCTCAAATTGTTTATCTTTAATCTACTTTTAGAATTGATAAAATACATAATCATTTTGAGCCGAAAGCTCAATTTTCTTATGCTTATATTACTTTTGAACTCTGAAAAATATGATATTATCTTAATATCATATTTTAAATAAATAAAATATTTAAATTAACTAATATATAAAAATTAAATATCGTTAACTCAATTAAAAGAATACAAAATATATAATTTAGAGGTCAAATGTTCGAGTGATACTTATCACAAATTATATTATATGTTTTGATCTCCGACATGAATAAATTATAAACTTTGATTATATCAATTATAAAAAAATTATATATGTAGTTTATATATAGAATATCCTAGTTGTCAAAAAATATACATGTATGAGATATTTTCCAAAATTAAATATATATATATATATTTATAATAAAAAATTCTTCTCATTTCCTCCAAAATCTTACAAAAATCTAAATTATCGCCGCCGCTTGCTTTTCAACCACCATCTTGTGGTTCTTAAACTTCTACATTATGTCTCTTTTATTTAATTTGTTTTCATTTGTTTCCTCTCTTTATAAAGAGATTTATACAGAAAATGTAATTTTCGTTGCGAACATCAAGATTCAAGTCTATTTGTATTTGGCATTCGATTTAAAAACGAGTTTCTTCGATTTAGATCTATAATAAATATTTTTATATCAAATAATTCTCAGAGTAATTGACTGTTTTTCTCTATTCTTTATTTTATGGTTCTTCTACTATTTGGTTATACCAAATTTTAGAGGAATTGTCAAAATTTTCTTTTTATCATCTGAGATCCATACAAAACATCAAGATTCAAATCTATTTGCATTTGGTATTCGATTTATAAAATGGTTTTCCGATTTAGATATGTAATAAGCGTTTTTTATATTAAATAACTTTTAGAATAATTGACTATTTTTTTCTATTTTTTTATGGTTCTTCAACTATTTGGTTAAATACCAAGTTTTAGAGAAATTGTCAAAATTTTCTTTTTATTATGTGAGTGCTATTGAAATTAAATACAATTTTTTTCGATATTTGTTTAAAGAAATCTAATGATATGGTTGATTACACCTTTTTTTTTTGTGCCTTTAGAGTGTTAATCATTTACATCCATAGAGTTTTAGTGTTTTCTCTTTCTCATTTTTGGAACTTTGCCTCCATATAGAAAGAGATCCTGATTTTTGTATATTTCAACCATAATATTCCACAATGTTATTGTACTTTTTTTTTGGTCAAGACAATGTTATTGTACTTTGTTATTCACCTTGATATCTTATGGAATTTAGACGGACAAAAAAACATTAATTGAAATTTGAAATGTATGCATGGACAAAAAGATTTAGGCGGGCGTTTTTTTCATTTTCCTTTTGAAAAAAATTTAAGGCGCCGTTTATTGCCGCGCGTCACTCACTCGTCCCTCTACCATAAATCCCAGTAAGCCCTAGGCACAACACAACTCATCGTTCTTATCTTTAATCCTTCGATTTCGCTCTCTCGATTTCGTTCTCTCGATTTCGTTCTCAGATCCTCAGGCTTTTCGCATTCCTCCTGCCGATTTCGCACAAAAGTAAGTTTTCTGCCTTGTGTCGATTTCTTAGTATCAGCGATTGTTAAAACCCTAGATCCCCGCTCTTATTGCTCATCATCTTAACCTAGATTCGTAGGATTTAATCGGAAATTTTCCTGGGATTTTGATTGTTTCGCGTCGATGTGATCCTGTAATGTTAAAAAGTCATTTCTAGGGGTTTAATCATATAGATTCATCCGAAATTTTGAGATTTCAGTTTCGTCGTAATGACTCGAAGGATTTTACCGGAAAATTTCCTGGGATTTTGATTGTTTCGCGTTGAGATAATGTTAACTCATTTCTACGTTTTTGATTGTATAGATCCGTCCGAATGATGATTGTTCTTCAACTCTGTTTGTATCTCTTCTGAGTAATTTTTTTTGCTTCAATTTAGGTTTCGGAAATGGTGGGAAAGGCAACCAGAGATCCAAAGGCGAAGGCCGTGAAGCCAAAGAAGAGACCAGTTCCAGAGAGCGTAGAGCCAGAAGATGATAGTGTCTCTAGGAGGACGAGGCCCAGGCGTGCTGCAGCGTGTACTAGCTTCAAGGAGAAACCTGCTCGTATCTCCAAGAAATCTGCTACCATCGAAACGAAGACGCAGCAGACTGTGGAGAGCGAGTATGACGCTATAGTCTTCACAGCTTCTCCAACGCAGCGCGATGAGCTTCATCATCAGATCCGGAGGCTAACTGATTTCACTCTGCTTGATTCAGAGGACAACTTACAGCCTGTGCAGATGTTGGAGTTTACGGAATTGTCCTTCACAGGTGTTATCTTGCCTTCAGATGAATCTTCTGACAAGGAGAAAGCAAAGGGCGTGAGGTGCAAATTTTGCATACCTGTTGAGAGCTGGAGTATATCTGGATACGAAGATGGTTCCCCAGTGATCTGGTTCTCGACAGGTTTGGCGGATTACGAATGCGTCAAGCCCGCTACTAAGTACAAGTGCTACTATGATTATCTCTTCGCGAAGGCGCTTGCCTCGGTGGAGGTTTACAAGAAACTTCCCAAGTCTGATGTTGGGAACTTCGACATGGGTGTTTACGAGTTGGCTTCATCGGTTGCAAGGTCTATGAGCGGGTGCAAGCTCTTTGTTAGCGATGTGGACATCGAGGATTTCGTTATACTCCAGGGACAGTTCATATACAACCAGCTCGTTGGTTTTGATGAGGCGATCTTCGCTGAGATGCGTGTGCTCGCTGGCCTCAGAGACGAGAGTAGTAAACGTGACGATACATTTGAGATGGAAGGAAGACCTTCTAATGGTGTTCTGAGGATTGATGGAGTTTCTGAAGTTGCAGAGAGCTCGGCCATGGCGGTTGATGTTTCAGATAAAGACATGAGATATGCTAAACTTCTACAAGATGAGGAGTATAGAAAATCTTTGCAAAGGCCTCGGAAAAACGGTAGCTCAGCTTCTGCTTCGAGTAAGGTGTACATAAAAACCACTGAAGATGATATTGCCAATGATTATCCTTTCCCAGCTTATTATAAGAACTCCGAAGTAGAATCAGATGAGCTTATAATCGCCGACGAGTATAAACATCGCAATGAGATCCTGCCTCGCATGATACTTCACAATTGGTCTCTTTACAACTCTGAATCAAGGCTGATATCTCTGGAGCTTCTTCCGATGCAGCCCTGCGCTGATATCGATGTGACTATCTTTGGATCTGGTTTGGTGGTGCACGATAGAGATGAAGGCTGGGTTTGTAATGATCCTGACGCCTCTACGCAGGGCTCCGAAGCACAGGATTCCGAGGGGATGGCCATATGTCTCAGTCAAATAAAGGAATGGATGATTGAGTATGGGTGCTCAACGATCTCGATTTCAGTACGAACAGATGTGGCCTGGTAAGAATCTATTCTAGTACACGTCTCTGCTTTTTTTTGTTTCTTCTTCTTCTGTTGCTGACGTTATCATGTACAACGCAGGTATCGACTTATGACACCGTCAAAGCAATACGCCCCTTGGCATAAACCTATTTTGAAAACAGCAAGGGTTGCGATAAGCATTATGGCTATGCTGGAGGACCAAGTTAGAAAGGCTAGGCTACCATTTCAAGATGTCGTCAAAAGATTATCTGAGCTCGAGAGGAACCATGAGTCTTATATCTCATCTGATCCGAAGGTCGTCGAGAATTATTTGATCGTCCATGGGCAAATAATCTTGCAGATTTTTGAGAAAATTCACGACAGGGAGATAAAAACGTCTTCGTTTAAGGTTGAGCTGGCTGCTAAAAGGGCGAATAGGCACCATACAAAATGGACCATCAAGACGAAGAGATCTAAATCGAAGGTACGTATTCTGAATCCAAGGGCGGGCATGGAGCCTGCGGTATCCAAGAGGAAAGCTATGCAAGCAACAACCACTCTCCTGATCAACAGAATCTGGGGGGAGTATTACTCCAATTATGCTCCAGAGGATCCATTGGAGGAAGAGGTTGAAGAGGAGGTCGAAAATGAAGAAGATAACGCAGAGCAAGAGGAGACTGTACCAAATGCTGTTGAGGTTCAAAAGACTCCTACTCCTCAAAAGATTATTCGAGGTCATTCTGGAAAGATGGAAACAAGATGGGATGGCGAGATTCTAGGAAGAACTTCTGCTGGTGAGCCTCTCTATCGGCAAGCCCTCGTTGGTGGGGACATGGTGGCTGTAGGTGGTGCTGTCGTCTTGGAAGTTGATGACATTCCGGCCTTCTACTTTGTTGAGTACATGTTTGAGAGTTCAGGCCACTGCAAAATGCTACATGGAAGACTCCTACAAAGAGGATCTGAGACTGTTCTAAGGAATGCTGCTAACGAGAGGGAACTCTTCCTGACCAATGAATGCATGACTGTACAGCTTAAGGACATCATAGGAACAGCCAGTTTTGAGATTCGATCAAGGCCATGGGGGCATCAGTATAGGAAAGAGAACTCCACTGCAGACTTGCTTGACCGGGCAAGAGCAAAAGAAAGAAAAACGAAAGATTTGCCCACCGAGTATTACTGTAAAAGCTTCTATGCACCTGAGAGAGGTGGTTTCTTCAGTCTTCCTCGAAGTGATATGGGCCTTGGTTCTGGATCCTGCAATTCATGTAGGATGAGAGAGGATCAAGAGCAGAGGTCAGAACTTAAGCTCAACGCTTCAAAGACGGGCTTTTTCTCCAGCGGGATTGAGTTTTCCGCTGATGATTATGTCTATGTCAACCCTGAGTATATGATAGATGAATCGACTAAGGGCAGTGAAAAGTTTAAGTCTGGGCGAAACATTGGGTTAAGAGCCTTTGTTGTTTGCCAATTGCTGGAAATCATTGTCCCGAAAGAATCTAAAAAGGGTTCCTTTGAGGTCAAAGTGAGAAGGTTTTATCGGCCTGAGGACATTTCTGCTGACAAGGCCTATTCTTCAGACATCCAAGAGGTAAAAACTATTTCTTAGTTAGTGATGCTTCAAGTAAAGTAGGCTACTTTGTTGGTTTCTTCATAAGTTTATCTTATTATCTTTTTTTTTCTTCTGTTCTTTTAGTTGTATTACAGCCAGGACACAGATGTTCTCCATCCAGAGGCTGTAAAGGGAAAATGTGAAGTAAGGAAGAAAATTGACATGCCCTTACGCCGTGAATACCCAATATCAGAGAACATCTTCTTCTGTGAACAAATTTATGACTCGTCCAATGGTTCTCTCAAGCAGGTATAGATATTTCTTCACTCATTTCCTTTTTGTTACGATCGTTGCTGTTTCCGATACAAAGTTGATGTGTTTCCTGTTGACTGTATTGTAACAGTTGCCCGCCAATATCAAGGCGAAGTTCTCTACCACTAAGGACGAAGCAGTTCTGAGAAAGAGAAAGGGGAAAGGAGTAGAGAATGAGGCTGATTCTGGGATTGTCATGCCTGATGAGGTACCTAAAGAGATGCGTCTGGCTACACTTGATATCTTCGCTGGTTGTGGTGGTCTGTCTCAGGGACTGGAACAAGCAGGTATGTATTATATCTCCAGGCAACACTTTAATCCACCAAAACGCTTGAACAAGTTGTATTCATCTGCATTGCTTTATGTACAAAGGTGTATCTGATACAAAGTGGGCGATCGAGTATGAAGCGCCAGCTGGGGATGCGTTTAAACAAAACCATACCGGGTCAACAGTTTTTGTTGACAACTGCAACGTGATTCTTAGGTAAATATCCAACAATACAAAACATTTAAAATGTGGCTATTTCTTGTGTCGTGTGTTCAAGTTTGTTGAGAATCTCTGTTGCAGAGCTATAATGGAGAAAGGTGGAGATGAAAAGGAGTGTATCTCTACCCAAGAGGCAAACGACCTCGCAGCTAAACTCAATGAGGAGCAGAAGCGTACTCTGCCAATGCCTGGTCAAGTGGATTTCATCAACGGTGGTCCTCCTTGCCAGGTATATATATATATTTTAAGATTGTTGCTATTACTTTCTTTACAGTTTTCGTAGAGTAAGTGAAGAAGAGATCTTAACCTGTGCGCAATTTGGCAGGGATTTTCTGGTATGAACCGGTACAGCCAAAGCGCTTGGAGTAAAGTCCAGTGTGAGATGATACTAGCATTCTTGTCCTTCGCTGATTATTTCCGGCCACGGTATTTTCTTCTGGAGAACGTGAGGACCTTTGTATCGTTCAACAAAGGGCAGGCATTTCAACTTACTCTGGCTTCCCTTCTCGAAATGGGTTACCAGGTAATTAATGACAATAAACTCTTATTGATTGCTCTTAATTAGAAGTTGAATCCAACATCTGTGTGTGAAATGATGTTTTCGCAGGTGAGATTTGGGATCTTGGAGGCAGGTGCGTACGGAGTTTCCCAATCTCGCAAAAGAGCTTTTATTTGGGCAGCTGCACCAGGAGAAGTTCTTCCCGAATGGCCCGAGCCGATGCATGTCTTTAACGTTCCGGAGCTGAAGATCTCACTAGCCAAAGGCTTACACTACGCTGCTGTTCGCAGCACTCAAAGCGGCGCGCCTTTCCGCCCAATCACAGTGAGAGACACGATCGGAGATCTTCCACCGGTAGAAAACGGAGAATCCGTGACGAGCAAAGAGGTAAAACGATAAACAACACATCAGGAGAAAACAAAGTATTTTTTTTTTATATACACAACATTTGAATTTTTGAAATTTGTGTGTCTTGCGCAGTACCGAGTTGATCCAGTCTCGTGGTTCCAAAAGGAAATAAGAGGAGAGACGAAGATGCTCACTGATCACATCTGCAAAGAGATGAACGAACTAAACCTAATCAGATGCAAGAAGATCCCAAAGAGGCCAGGTGCTGATTGGCGCGATCTCCCAAACGAGAAGGTACTAGTGGAGTTCTTTCTTTGGTTTCCATGAGATGAAAAAAACTTGTTTTTATATATTATCTCTCTCTCTCTGTTACACAGGTGAAGCTATCAAATGGGCTGGTGGACGAGATGATCCCATGGTGTCTCCCAAACACAGCCAAGGATCACAACCAGTGGAAAGGACTGTTTGGGAGATTAGACTGGCAAGGCAACTTCCCAACTTCCATCACTGATCCTCAGCCAATGGGTAAAGTCGGAATGTGTTTCCATCCTGATCAAGACCGGATCCTCACCGTCCGTGAATGCGCCCGATCTCAGGTAATCATAATAATCATTTACCAACATTTGTTCTGTAAATTTGATCTGAAATTAAAAATGTTTTTGTTTGTAGGGGTTCCCGGATAAGTATAAGTTCTCAGGGAGCATAAAACACAAGCACAGGCAGATTGGGAATGCAGTGCCTCCACCATTGGCATTTGCTCTCGGTCGCAAGCTTAAGGAAGCGTTACATCAGCAACAACCCTAATGTTGCTGTCATCATGCCAAAAAAAAATAATATGAAACAAAACTTTCAGATTTTGGCGTTTCGTTTTTTTATTATAAGTTAGTAGTAATTGTGATTCTCTCCTCTCTTGAAAACTCTATATTATTTAAGTAGAGAGATTTGTTAGGTTTTAAGTGAATAGTCAAAGTTTCTTTTTTTTTCTCTATCGCTTTAAATGTAATGACTTGAGACATGTGAGAAGTTGCAGGTATGGGTATAAAAACCTTCTTCATTGAGTATTTTGTTCTCTGAATCTTTACAATCATGTTTATGAGTGTACCGCAAGTCAAGTTCATAGATCCCATAAACATACCTCAAAAGAAGTTAAGGCATTTATCAAATGGGCCTGCGTTTTCTTTTATGAGTTTCAATCGATTTATATTACTCGATGAAGGTTTTTCCCTATACTCTTGGGCCCTTAACTCTTTTACATTACTTTTTAGGTCCGTATAGGAGATTTTTTTTTTGTCTCAATCGATTCTACCAAACGATTTTGGTCTCCAATTCATTTTTTTTTGTGTTTTGAAAATTTTGACGACTCACTTGTACGTACGAATGATTTAATGATTGTTGTATGGTTTCTTACATCTAAAATTATATTCAACTTTCAAAATCATCAAAAGTTGTGTTTATGGCCCCATTCAGAACCATAGTTTTAAGGAATGTAAATTCGAAAACTATCACTTCTCTCTCTCGAGTCTCGACCATCTCTAAATTTAGTTACTATTGTTTCTTCACCTTTACATGTCGATTTTCCATGATATAATTCGTGAACGCAAATCAAACTACAAATGTATTTCACTTCTAAAACGATTTAAAATGATAACAACAACACGTAACGTAAGGTAAATCTTCAATCTTGAAGAGGGGAAGAGTTGCATGGAATCAAAATATTTTGTTTATTTTAATTTAGATCAAATCCATAACGATTCGATTCCTACTTATCCTCTTACATTTGCATAATTATTTAATTCATGAATAAAAAAAAAAAAAATCTAACCCTCATGAGTACTTTCAGATTGCGTTCTATCTTTATCTTTTTCTTTCTATATATATATATCCTCTTGGCATCAAATCAGTTGAATTTCTTTTAATGGATTATGCTTCTAGAACGCCTGCGATTTCTTTCCTTTTTAAACTAGACAACCCATGATTGTATTCTTTTAGAAGGTTCATGCACACATACAGACACACACCAAGAGAAGAAAGTAAATATACCTTTTTTCTGTTTTGAAAGCAGTAAATATACATTCAAAGGATCAGTGATTATGAGGTATATTTTCTCAAAATTATGCATTTATAACTAAGCGTTACCAACGGGAAAGACGTGGAATAATTGACTTGAGTAACAAAAATACAAATGTTTGAAAATTTAACCATAAATGCATTATGCATAATTCTATAAATAATTCCTGCCTCTCTTTAGATTTTTTTTTTTCTGTCAACGCCTCTCTTTAGTTTTTTTTTTAAAAAAAATTATAGAATAATTTTAAAATTAGCAAATAAATATTAAATTGCATCCAGCAAATTTAAAGAGTTGACTGTTTATTCCAGATACGTTCTCTTACCAACCTAAATTTGCCTTATAAATTTGACTCTTCTCCTGCATTATCTCACTCAATATATATCACAAAAAACATTAAAAAAAAGAGAGAAAAAAATTTCAAAGAAGAAGAAGAAACTATGTCAAAGACTAACATCATAATCGTCGCAGCACTTATACTTAGCTTCATGGTTATTACTTCGTCGGCTCGTCCAGACTCCAGTCTCCAGAGCAAATCTACGGTGAACATTCATTCTCTTAGTTTCACGTTTTATTTATATTCATTTCAATAAAAAAATCTATCATATAGCAACACCAAATCGTTTGAACATTCATTTATAAGAGCCCTTCTGTTTTATCATATGGTTGATTAATAAAACTTATGTTAATTGTATGAAGGAGAAGGATAATAAGTGTGAAACAGATGAATGTTTGATGAAATCGACTTCGGATGCTAATATCGATTACATCTATACACAGAGGCATCCTCCTAAAGCGCATGCACTGAAAGTAAAATCCCTCTCCTTTATATATATACTTTAAATAAATCAGAAAATTAACAAAATTATGTTAGAAGGAGGAGATGGAGAAGAAGTGTGAAACAGAGGAATGCTTGATGAAAACGACGTCGGACGCACACATTGATTACATCTACACTCAGCCATCTCCCCCTAATACACTTGAAGCCAATCCTTAAGTATACTCAACTTGTTTATAGATTGTGTTGTTTAAGCTAATTGATATATTTATAATAAGTTAATAAACTATCAAAACGTTTTGGAAGATGTACATATAAGCCTTAAAACCAAATTTTGAGAATTGCTTCTCTAATTTACAAAGAACTCTCAAGAACCGTACTGAAATGTTCGAACAACTGAAATCCCACTCCTGTCTGGCAATAACTTCTTCATGTAATACTTTGATCTCCTCGAAAGATTGATTCTTTCTCGTCTTGCTTCTGGTATCATCTCGATGGAACATTCCTGAAACCCTCGTCTCACGAACCAATCCGCGGTTCTCGTCGTCAGCAGAAAAAGCATCTCGAGTCCGAGAGCTGAAGCTTTCTTCTCAACGTAATCTGCAAAACACTTTCACGGTTCAAGAAACAAAGTCTTTTCTCTCTAACACAGTGTTCAAAATGTTTTGTGATCGTACCGAGCAGTTTATCTCCTTGGCCCTGTCCACGACAATCTGATGCGACTGCAATAGCTGCAACTTCTCCACATTTGTCTTCAAAGAAAGGGAACAAAGCCGCACAAGCTATTATCTGTCCTTCTCTTTCCACAACCACAAACGAATCCAAAGCTCGCAGTAACTTAACACCAAAAAAAAAAAAATAATTTATCACTTTGCTGGTTACACAAAAAAAACAGAGAGAAGTGAATCCTAAGGCTAACCTCCTCATCAGTTCTACGAACCAATGCCCCAGATTCCTCCAAGGGTTTGATTATTTGTCTAATTCCAGTAAGATCTTCCACTTTCGCCTCTCGTGTTCCTTCGTATACATCACTGTCACAGGTGTAAGTTAAAACTTTGAATGATTTGAATGATCACACTGTGACATAAAGGGTGTAAGAAAGATTAGAACTTTTGAACGGTTAGCAATTGAAAACTTTGAATGGTCACACTGTGACATAAAGGGTGTAAGAAATATCAAAACTTTTGAATGATTAGCAACTAAAAACTTTGACTGATCACACTGTGGCATAAAGGGTGTAAGAAAGATCAAAACTTTTGAATGGTTAGCAATTGAAAAAACAGTTGTGTTAATACCTTGCCACCATAGTCCCCATACCATCTCTTTTGAAAAGCTCCAACAATAGCACTCCGCTTATGGTACCATCCAACAAGTGAACTCTTTTGACACCACCCTTTCAAGTTTCAGCACACCAATGAATCAGGAAACTTGGAAGTAGTAATCAAACAGAAGCACAAGGGTTAGGTCAAAGGGACTCACTCTGCAGACGAACGCTGCTGCAGCCAGTTCAGAGAGATATCCGTACAAGCGGCTAAGCCTCTCTTCACCGCCTATCGCAAAGCCTTGCTCTCCTGACCACAACCCGTTTCCGTTGTCGAATCCAACACCATTTTGAAAAGTCGGAGTGTGTTTTTCCAAAAGCTGTCTCCCATTATGATTGCTGGGAGTCGTCACCATCCCATTGTAACCAAGAGGTTCAGGAAAACTACTTATGCCTCCTCCATCTCCAACAGCCTTAACGTAATTCGCAGCTATCTCGCTTTGCTGTGCTCGTTTTCTGACCAACGTATCTGCTTCCTGAAGAGTCAAGAAGCGAACAAGATGCCCATTCTCATCAAGAATCGGACCGTCCATTATGCAGATGAGCTTATCTGCTCCTATAGCTAAAGCACAAGCTGTTGCAACCTCATAGGTACTGCAGTTTCGAAGTAATGTCCCGATATCAGAGAGTAAGAAAAACTCAAGCCAAACAAGTGTATTGATTACTAAGAAGCAAGAGCATACTTGCAGTTCAAGACTTCTCCGGAGCTGGAATGGCCCAAGTTCCTCAATAAAACTACAGAACCACTATCGAGCCTCTCACGGATCCGATCCACATCTATTTTCTTCACTTCACCAGTTGATCCAAAATCAACACCATCAACAACACCTCTTCTCTGCCATGACGATTTATCAGAACGAACATGACAAGAATCGACATTCAAGTTAACGAGTCAGGAGAGAGTGGAACATTCACCTTTGCTGCAAAGAAGTTACCAGTGTCGACCCTAACGCCAATTTCGTGCAAACGACTACTATCACCATGTCGGCGTATATTGCAAATGGAAGGTCCCGGAGATAGTTTGGCCTCGATCATTACCGATATCGCTCCCGCGGCTTCCTTGGCAGCTTGCAGAGATGCTGAGTCTGTGACTCTGTAACGACCCACATAAGTAGGCTCGCGTCCTGAAACTGATACACCTTAGGCTCCATCTGAGCAAGCTCGAAGATTCATGAAAATTTTCGATCACATTCAACTAATACATCATAAAGTTATGAACTTCGCCATCACTATCGCAACAAGCGAATCAAAAGATGAAAGCCAGACAAGGTTAATTCTCTGACCTCTCTCGGCTAGAAGCTGGTCGATTTGCACTTGAGTTCCAGGAACTAGAACAAACTTAATCCCCAGATGATGAAGAAATGCTATGTCCTGCACATGTGTCAAAATTCATTTCACTTTTGAATTCCAGATTACAAAAAGTGTGAATCAATATAATATTTGGTTGAACTTCAAGGAGACACATTTTACAAGAGAAGAAGACAAATTACATGTTCTAAATTCAAGCTAGGCAATTAATCAAACACCTTGTGCGCATAACACTGAGAAGTAAAGAACGGGTATTAAAAGAAGGTGCCTTTAAAACTGGATCACAGTAAGGACCCGATAGAATCTCTCCGAGGATGACAACGACGAAGGTGCAGCCACGATGAGCCCATAAATACGGCCAGGCTTCACGGAACCACCGCACAAACTGCTTATCGCCGACATGATTCTCAGCACTTTCCGCGTAATCGAAACCATTGCATTTCACAATTACCGGTAACGGAGAAGACGCAGAAACTTGAGGATTCATCAATTGACGATTAGGGCTTAGCTTCTTCGTCCGCCGGAAAGAAAAACCCTTTCTTGTAAGAGGATATCGGAATGGGACGTAGCAGGTAGAGGAAGAAACCACCAAAGCTCCTCGCTCCGTCATCTCAAAAACTCCGATGAAATTAGCAGGAAACAGAACAAAACGGGAAACAATGGCGGACGATCGGTGGAGGAAGAGGAAAGGTAACCGAAGGAATCAATTGAAAGTAGTGACCGATTCGGTTATTGAATTCATCGAAAACCATTGAACCGGTTCGGTTTTGAAGTACCGAACCGGGATTTGCATTCGTAAATGTCAGTGTCAATAAAAACACCACTGTCCAAGTCAGATAGTATTTCGAATTATTACCGTTTTCTGATTGGTCAATTTCATAAAGTTATAAGATGCATTTCAAACGTGTATTTAATATTTATTATGTACTCTTTCTTACTCTATGATGATATTATTGAATTCAGTATAAAAAACAAAATTATAAAACTATTTGTGAATTATCCATTTGGTCACGCGTTTTGGTTTTGTGTTTCTTGGAATTTAGTAGTAATGAGAAAAGAGTGAGCAATAGTAGTGTGACCTTGAGAATACCGTCGAGGGTCGAACCAGAGTCAAGTAGTTCAGCCGACAACAAAACGACAAATTTGTTGTCTCTATGTAAATTCACGTACGGATGAGCCTCCCGGAGCACCGCCACTAACTCCGCCTCCTCCTCCGCAACAATCACTCCGGAGTCTTCGAAATGGGAATGGATTCTCGTTTCTCCACCGTTGGTCCAGCTTAGTCGCTGCTGCTTCGTTGAAGAAAACACGTGAGTGTCTCTAAATTGGTGTGGACAAACCCAAGAACTAGGTGGTTTAGCTCCGAAATCGGAATCTTCAGACACCTTGCTGCGGCTGAGTCCGCCAATCCACGGTGGTTGGGATCTGCAATTTGCCATTTTTATTTTGTAGAAGATGAAAAGAAAATGATAGTGAGGTTTTTTTTTTTTTTCTCTCGCTCTTTGGCTCTTCTTGTGATAACCAAGAAAACAAATATTATAAGAAAAAAACAAATTGAAAACCTGAGGATTTTTAAGATAAGGTGTAATGAGATAATAGAGAAATATATGAGATTCAATTTGGATGGTTATTGTGATAATGGGTGTCTATTTGAAAGCGAGATAATTAAATGAAACTCAAGTCTTATATTTTTTTGGGATTTTTAGTGAAAAAATCCCTTAACTAAAAATGTATTGAAGAAACACTCCTCAACTATAGATTTAATGTAAAAACCTCTCAATTATAAGTTTGTTAATATTTTTTTGTTTATAATATTAAAAAATCTTAACAACCAATGTTAATTTAAAATTATGCATTATGGGTTATAAGAAAACAATATGTGTTTTACAAAATCCTAAATAATTTTAATGAAATACTCCTCAAATAAAGGTAAATCGAAAATAAACCCATTACCTATAAATTTTAATGTGTTAACCTCACCTCCCTTCCCATTTTCTGCCTATAATAATGTTAAAATATATATGATATATTAAAATATTTTGGATTATAAAAATTGACGTAGATAATTTTAAAATGATATGAGAATGAGATATTTTATGTAAAAAGTTGATTGAAGAAGATATATACGTTAAATTTCTTGTAAATCAAGTTCTACAAAAGATTTGATATTTTTCTATGTTATTTTTACGATCCAGATCATATGTATTTGATTTAATGTTAATCCTTTAGATTTTAACATAATTGCAGATGGAAGGAATTTTTCCACAAATTTAATAATTGAAAGGTTTATTCTTTATCTGTATTTATTTGAAAGTTTTTTCATTAAAATTATTTACGATTTTTCAAAACACATGTCATTTTTTTATAACTCAAAACGCATAATTTTGATTTAATGTTGACCGTTAAGATTTTAACATATTGTAGACGGATGGATTTATAGTTGATTGGCTTTTACATTAAACCTATAATTGAAAAATTTTTCTGCGATTCATTTTTTGTTTTTTGTTTCCTTTTTTTTTGCCATCGGATAACCACAAAAATACAATGAGATATTTTGTAAATTTTGAAAGCAAGATATTAATTAAATAAAATCCATTTATCTCTTTATATTTTCATTGGGAGATTTTGTTGTATTGTTTTTCTAAACTGTTTCACTTTTTGAATTTTTTATAGTTTTGAAATTGCATTACAAACAAAAAAAGATTTCACATATGAGTGAACTAATTCATAAGTGGGAACCGAAAAGATGGACGTGTATATGTATTCTTCTTATTTTGTTTTGAAGATGGAACCGAGAACAAAAAGAAAACAGAAAAAGAATGTAAATCATACAGCGACATGATTGTCTATAGCACTTATATACCAACATAAGAGAGGATGAGAACTTCAGCCAAGCCATCGATCGGCGTCGCCAGAAGCAAACGATATCAGATTTGTTGCTTCTTCAAAATCTTTTTTAAAGTTTCTTATTTATTATTGATAGATGATAATTAAAAATAAAATTTGCGAGGTCTATACCTTTTTGCAATTGGTACATGTGCAAACGGTCTTTTTATCAGTTTTCCTTATCCTACAAAAGCCAAGATGATAATAACCACCACGCATGCAATCTTGGTTGCATATAATCTGAAAACAACCACTCGGCTCCGTAGTGTATGCGTCGATGGATTTACATTCTTCATTCTTAATATTTCCATTTGATATTCCTACTGCATAATTGATCGGTTAGTAGGAAATATTCAGATTTTTTTGATAAAAAATACATACAATATGTAATTTTAATTACATATGTATAGTAACCTATCTTTTGTTTAAAATTTGGTCAAAAACAAATTTTTAATTTATCTAAAATTCATAGACTATAAAGATTTTGATTGAATTTTTTTTAATTACATTTGTATAGAAACCTATTTTTTTATTAAAGTTTTGTCAAAAAACATATTTTTAATTTATCTAAAATTCATAGACTATATGGATTTTGATATATATTTTTTTAACATTGACAAGTTAAAAATATATAATTAAAATAAATTTTAAAAATTTAACAAATAATGTATATATAAATTCTAAACGCAAACTCAATCTAACGCTGATTAAAAAATTAAACACATATATAATAAACCACAATTAGCAAGATTAATATACCATAATGCATACCTGTCAAGATCAAGAAAATCATCAAATAAGTGATGAAACCAGTGGCACATACAAATTTAACCATTTTCACTTCTAAATTTTTCTTTTTCCTTTTCTTCTTCACCTTTGATAGAATGTTTACATTATCATTTAATTGTTTTTATAGAGTTAATTACTATTGACTAGATTAACATCTTTCCATAATATTTTTATAAAGTTAATTACCTAGAATAACTATAATATATATGGTATTGACTATGATATTAACTAGATTAACATCTTTTTATACTCAGTAACTAGAATAACCTTACAAAGTTTTGGAAAGACAACAAGATCTAAATTTTGGATCAAATAACAAAAATGCCATTTTGATAATTAAAAAAAATAAATCCTAACTATTATTTGAGAAGCAGGTTGAATGAAAAAATCATATATGTCATCACTTTAGCAAAAGTTTTTGAAAAAGAATGCCAGCCTGAAAATGTAACATGATAAATTTTCTAAAATAAACAAAATATTTTGATTGGGTTAATTAAAACTAAATAAATTTCATTTTTAAATAAGATAAAAAAAGTTTATATAATGTGTGAATGAACTCTTATTATATAGCAAAATTCGAAATTATAAATGAAACAAAATATAACAGATAAAGAAATAAATTATAAGTATCATCTTAGCTAACTTTATTTTATTATAATATTGTTTATATGAATAAAAAGAAAACGTAAAATTAAAATTGAATATTTACGGCTTTTGTTTTATGTAAACATTTCAGGCTATATTTTTGGTTTAAAACATCTCCAACCTACCTTTATTTTAAATCTTCTAATTTAGAAGAAAAAGAAAGGTTGTTAATTTTTCTTCTAACTATAGAGAAAAAAATAACAATCTTTCTTTTTCTTGTAAAAAAAAATAAGTTGGAGAGAAGTCCACTTATATTTTAGAGGAAAAAATTAAAAAATACATTGTTGATGATCTTAATGTTTAATATATTATTAAAGTTTAAGAACAAAAAAAAGTATGGGTCAAAAAGACAAAAAAATTAAATAAATATAATATTGATCAATTTTTGTTTTTATTAGAAATATTTTAAAATATTATCTTACATACATTTATTCTTTCATGCATATATTTTTACCAACATATTAAAACATTGTTTCACGAATCAAGTTTTGTATATGTTGTGATCTGTTATATATTATATTAAAGATATATTAAAGTTAAGAACAAATCAATTCTTATTTTTTAATATAATAATTAAATATTAAATATATTATTTTATACCTTAAATCATACTTATATAATTTTAGATCTGATTGGTTTAAATGATTCTGTAACAGAGAGTTTGTGGAAGTGAACGATTACGGATTATAAAAAATTTGACAAAGAGATGAGTAGAGAGCTAGCAGAGAATTTTATAAACTATGATTTCACAAATTTTATAACAAATGTATATTATATTTTCATTGATAAACCATATATCATAAAACGCTGCAAAATAAGAAATTTCAATTAAATACAAAATGATAGAAACGGTTTTCGTGATTGTTGTTAAATGTCAATAATTGCATCATGTGAAAACATAACATTTACAGAAAATATCAGAAAAATTTAGTAACAACTAAATATAACAATTCACTTATTTCTAACTCATACCTACATGCATATATATTTTTGTTGTTATTTTTTCAACCATACATTATAAAAATATTTATTACAAAATATATACTTTGTTATTTTCTTTTAACACATAAAAGTCACACTTCGATTTTCTTACAAATATGTGTGTAGATATAAATAGTAATTGTGCAAAATTCAAACTTGCATGTAAACTTGTTGTGCATACATAACCTCGATTACACTCTAATATTAATTTTAGCTGTTCGATAATTTATATTTTTTAAAAAAATATTTATATGACCTAAGAGCGGTGATGTGGTTGGTACGCACGAATGTGCATGCCAACCATCTACCCGCTCTTAGGATAAGTAAATATTTTAAAGTTTATTTTGATTTAATTAGCAATAGGTCAAGAAAAAATATATACTTTATATATATATATTGGTAAGATTATATTATGTAAGGAGAAAAAGAAAGTATAGTATAGATAATATTCAAAACATATTATAAGAATTCAATTATTATTTAATATAACTTTTATATTTGCAATTATATGTTACCGTAAACGCTAGAAGAAATAAAAAGTTTTCAAAAGACATAAAACGATATGAAACGGTTGTGTGATTGTTGTTGAACACTAAAACTGTATATGTATAAAAACATAACGTTTACATAATGTATAAGAAAATTAATCAATATTTAAATATAATATTTAATTACATCTATAAAAACAAGTACATGCGAGCGGACCAAAAATAAAAATAAATAAATTATTATATATTTTAATATTTTCCTATTTATTTAGTTATCATATTTATATTTTTTTTATCTAAGAAAATATTTTAAAATCTTAATTAATATTTGTTTATCTTTATTTTCTATTGAAATATATAACATTTTATATTTAATTTATTGTTATTTTTATTATTAAATATTTATAATTTATTATTAATACATAATTAATCTTATACAAATAAAGCATTTTCAATATTATATTAATTATAATTGAACATATAAAATGTTTTATAGCTTGCACAATATATGCAGATCACTTAGTAATAATATTAAAAATGATAAAAAAAAAAAACACAATACTAAATAAAAAACACACAAAGCCTGGGTATTTGACTTTATAGCGACTCACATACGCAGGCTCGTGTCCTGAAACTGATACAACTTAGGCTCCATCTGAACAAGCTCGAAGATTCATGAAAAAATTATCACATTCAACTATGACAACATAAACTTATGATTTTCGCTATCACTAACTGATGACACCATTACTTGACGCGGGCTACACAGATCCAGAGCCGTGCCTAAGCATTTGGATGCCGTAGGCCAAATATATATATATATATATATATATTAAAATGTTATATTTATATAATAATATATGAAATAGCTATATTTATTTTTGAAACATAATATTAACTAAAAATTTACAAAAAACATATATCTTAAATCATTTGTTTAATATAAAAAAATATAATACAAAAGAGACTGTATTGTATATAACATATTTTTAAAATTTTAACTAAACTTAAAAATTTAAAGAACAGAATATTTAAAACAAAAAAAATTGGTGAAATTTTAAAAAGAAACAATAGCTAACATGGTAAAAATGGGAAAAAGAAATGAATATGTGGTTATATAAATACTATAAAGAACAAAAATTAAGAGCTTAAAAATATAAACCTAATAGCTAATGTATTAATTGACTTTCAGTTTTTAAATTTTTGTTATAAAAAGAGTCTTGAGATATTAATGTGATCATCAATACACAGAAATAGAAACTTAACAGTTTTCATATCATAATAATATATTTAAATTTACTTTCTAAAAATTGTATAAAAATTAAATGACATAGGCGAAACCATAAATTTACTTTGTAAGTTTTACATAAAAATTGAGTGACGTAGGCGAATGTTTCTTTATTTGTTAAGTAGGCACGGCCCTGCACAGATCCATCGAAAATGTGAAATCACTAACATAAGAAACATCAAAACAAACTTAGTCTAGACCAGAAGATGTAAGAAAACTTATTGGGAAATTTATCAAACTATAAGTGATCAAGAGGTTCAACACATGCATATATCGTAACA